AGAGGTAATTATTATACGTAAGCTACGAGCTAGGTAGCAAGCAAGGATCGTTTGGCAATAGAATTGACACGAAAAATTATATGAGCCAAGAAACTTCCTGTTTATAAATGAAACATGAATTTTATTGGCTAATCTAGATTACATAAAAACTTAACTAAAACGTACACATACACACAAAGATTCAAGGAAAGGAGTCAACGGAGTTGCATTAAGTTTTCAAAGTCCTAACTCGTTTAACGAGTGGTTTTAAATTCAGCCTAGAGAATTTACCAAGCAGAGAATCGGTCTTAATTTTACTGCTTAAATTAGCTTTACACCAGTTCAGCTGAGTTGAAGATTTTGTTCGTTACTTGCGTTCTTTGGTTGACAGCTGAAAGCAGAGGTGATTCCGTTGCGGACGCGGATGCGGGCTTCCTGGATGTCTGTTGAGGGAAATTCCTTCGCTGATTGGCTGTTGCTTTGACGTTGGAATGACGTATGGATGACGTCCTTTTGGGAAACCCCTTTTGTTGTAGTTGGTTGATTCCGTGATGACACAGAGGCTTGAGCAGTCCTGCTAAAAGTCTGAGTTTGAAAGACTTTCAAGTTCTCTGCAGATCGCAAAGTCTCACTGAAATGTCTGAGTTCTTAGATGTTCTTGCTATGGCGATGTTAAGGCGTGGCGCTTGTTCGCGCTCACCAAGGTGCAAGCCAAACGTCTTGATCGGGTAAAACAAGCAAGCCCAAAAAGCCACGAATCTGTGTTGCAGTGGGGTTTTGATTCGCGGTGTAAGTCCATCCCACAGGTCGCAGTTCCAATCAGATGGTGGCTGCGGGGTCTGGCCACGCCCTGTGTGGTTTGTTGTTTGGGAGAGTATTTCTGCAAGTTTTTAAATCTCTTCTGATAACAGTATTATCATCCGAGAATGATACAACATATAACTTTTTCACCAGCACCAATGTTACTTAAATATCATGACCATTCTTACAAGCCTAAACTTCACGTATCTGGCATATACAGTAATCGTAATTAACTAAAAAGAAAAGTTATAAAGCAACGATTAAGATATCATGGTTTCAATAACACATAATATATATATAAGACATAAAACATATTATTTGTGAATATAGTTACTCCAATACTTTCAATGATTTTTTAATGATTGTCTGTGTACCCTCTGTTTCTTTGTCTGTGACAAAAAGGAAGTAAGGGTTTTGGTCATGCGGGAAGCTGGTGGTCGAAAGTCATGGGATAGTCATGTGGCGTCACGCTGTACATCCTGTGTTTGCGTGCCTGCGTCATTTAATCCTTTTCCTGTTCGGGACACAATGGCTCCATCCATTGGTGGGTCCCAAGACATGGGGACTCCATAGTTTGTGAATGAACTCTTTCAGTTCTTGAGACCAAGAAGGCTTTGTCGTCTCCTGATCGAATTAGTTTCGATCTCATGAGTAGATGTGCTGGGTGATCAGCAAACTTAATTGAATGCTGATATCAGGGTCTGTTTGTGTAAGAAATCCCTACATATATCCCCCTTTTGCGCGGTGAGGTTCCCATTGCGAACGTCGGCGGGCACTGGAACAAGAGGCAGAGAGAACAGACACACACAAGACACAAACAACATCTCCATCACTGACTGGATCCTGGTGCGGGACTTGGGTAATTTGGGAATGATCAGGTTAGAAACTTGAGAAGACGTAGAGGTACATTATTTAGTATTACTTGTATCATTGTTGAGTCATTTAGATCGCTCTAATTATCAGAGGTTCGACGAGGCGGTATAGGCGTAATCTCAATCAGGTTTGTTGAGTTCTCCGGTTCAGGTTCAGGTTCTTGGTCAGTTTTATCACGTCGGAACATGCGCGGGACGCCGGACGTGCATTTGTTGAAAGACTCTTGAACGGCGTTCACTCGCTTGTGGAGGAGGAAGGCAAGTGTCAGAGTCACAACATATCCTACAACAGTAGAGAAACAGAGCGCTGTGTCAGTGGCAGACCAAGACCGAATGATTGACGCGCCAGCGGGCGGAAGGCGAGCGATAGCTTCTAAAGCTG